CAGCCATCATCATCTTCATTATCACTGTGATTACTGCTACCACAAAAGCCTCTTAAGCAGAGCAACAGATCCTGCTCAAAGTCAGTTTTAAAATCTGAGTCTTACCTTCCAAGAGTTTGTGAGTTAGGCAGTAAAGCTGAACTTGTGGTCAAGAAAGAGGTACAGACAAATGAATCAATGTTAAACTAAAGACACTGGCTTACTGGTAGATATGACTGCTTGTATTTGTTGGCTGTTTTTCATTTACCTCCTCTAACTTTATAGGCCAAAGCCATGCAGACTGATTTCATAAACTTTGGCACCCCCATCCTATAAATAAAGCTAGCTGAAAATGATTTCTTTATAGTCAATGTCTTAACTATTGTAAATCCCATAGTTACTGAAATCATCCTTTAAAAATAAAAATATGAAAGTAGTAATTTAAGAGTTCATGGAATCTTACTTATGTAGAATACAAAGATAATCATTTGCTCCTTTTAAAACTCCACAAATTTTGCCAATATATCATAGTCCCATGTTTGTTACCTCCTTTGGTATGTAATTTTCAATTCTATTTTAATGCAATTTTCCCCTTGTGGGCTTGGCCGTTCACTGCTGCTCCAAATATCTCATGTTTGACAAGAACCTATGCAGGCCTTGGAGTGCAGGGCAGAGAGCACCAGCTTGGGTTCAAAGCCTGATTCTATCACTGACTAGTTGTTGGATGCCTGGAAGCTATTTAAAATCTCTGAGCCTCAGCTTCCTCATTTGTAAAATGGGCATAATAATCTCTATCTGATAAATTAAGAAAAACTTTTACATAAAATGTGCAGTATACAGTAATTGCTTCTTCAATGTTAATTCCTTTGTTCGTAAAGAAAAAAGCAAAATGTATTAAATTAAATTATTTGATAAAAATAAATAGAAGATGAAACAAATATATTACACTTCACTTGCTCTGATAAAGTCTTCAGAATTTCAGGAGGGCTGGCCATTGATAGACATAATATTCCATAGGGCAGCAAAACCCTGGAATTTGGTTCTGGCCCCTGAACTGCAGGGCTAACTCTCTGCCCTTCTGCACCTTCACTGGTAGTGGAATTTTCTTTTTAAGGAAATGAGAAGATTACATATGAAATGTGAAGTTTTGAAATAACACATGACGTTTTAGAGTGTTACACTAAAGATCTTGCTGAAAAATGATTCAAATCAAAAGCAAATGAAAAATAATTTATTAAGCACTGAGAAAAGGCATGTGAAAAACTAGTAATGAAGTTTTAGAGTGTTACACTAAAGATCTTGCTGAAAAATGATTCAAATCGAAAGCAAATGAAAAATAATTTATTAAGCACTGAGAAAAGGCATGTGAAAAACTAGTAATGAACAAAGAAAGTAATTTTTCAGTTGATCTGCTTGGTGTTATGATGAGCACGGGGGCTTCGTTTGAACACTGGTTGCTTGTTGGGCTGTAATTTTACTTAAATATCATATGATTATTTTTTCAATAATTAAGGTAACATAACATATTACAAAGAATTTGGAAAATAAGGAAGTGAAAAACATGCTTTTCCTTCCAAGCTTTTGCCTATGTATATTTTTTATGTGGCTGCAATTATAGTTTGTATGTAATTTTTCAACTTTTGTTTTTTAGTTAATATAATATCAAAGCATTTTAAAGTACTAAGTGATATATTACATTCTAAGATGTATTTAACAGATTTTCTATCGTTACTATTGAAGTGGCTTCCAGATTTTTGCTATGATATATAATTATTGTGAAGAACAACTTTGCTTTTGGAATTTTTCAAAGGGTTTTTATCTGTAGGGCAATTCTGGTTTTAAAACGTAAAATAAAATCACCAACTCTTAAAACAATATTCAGGTAAACCTCCCACAGGTCCTTCTGTGCCCAGCACCATTTATCAGTCCTGATTTCTATCAGATTCTGCCTGATGTGCTACTTGCTTAAGTTGCAATATGCTGGTAAAGGCAATTATGTTTCAAATTTAGCTTCACCCAACCCAAGTAATAGTACAAGGTCAAGGACAAGGAGAGAGACTCAGAAGAAGAAAACAAATGGAAAGAAACTAAATATTTAAAAACGGCTAGAGAATTTTATGAAAACAATTACTCCCTAAACCCAAGTGAGAGTACTGGATTGAGCTGCATAATTGTCATTTTGTCTTTCATTAACACTATCTTTGCCCATTAATTTTCCTTCTTATTTTCCCGTATCTCCCCCCTCTCCCCAGGCTACTCTAGCAAGGATTTTGAGGGTTCTGTGGATTTGTCCATTCTCTCTGCATCCTCTCATAGTTTCTGCTTTCCTTCCCTGCCTATCTATGTGCAAGTTTCATCACTTTGGTCAGTATTTATTGAGCATCTACTATACCTGGCACATAGTAGATGTTTTTCACTTCTTGATTTTCCAAATGCTTTGTAATATGTTAGGTTACCTTAATTATGGTATAGTGCTAGGTGCTGGCAATTCAGTAGAAAATAAAACACAAACTCTTGTTTGAGTAAAGAGGAAGGTGGGGCTGGGTTCTGATCGGATATCTGAAGGCAGAGCCGGAGTCAGCTAAGCGAAGCGTGGGTGTGTATGTGCAGGTGAAGGGCGTTTCTGACAGAGGACAGCCTTTGCAAAGCTACGTGGTGGTAGGAATAAGCATGTCAGGTGCAAGGAGGAGGAAGGCCAACGTGTCTGAAGCCCTAGTCCTTCAGTGAAGGGTCCATCCCCACATGGCAAAACATAAAGCTCATTTGCCTGATGCTTTCCTGTCGTTCATCCTCTCTGGATAGTCAGAGTAAGTGTTTCTGAAAAGCTCCCAGAGTCCCAATATATTTACCTTTTCTCATCGTGTCTGTAAGATGAAGAGGTCCGGCCACTGGTCCATATAAACATCTTAGAGGGTGTTGGTCCAGGGGCTTCTTTCCTTATGGTGGAAGTCCTGGAGGAATGGTAAAAAGACCTAGAAGAGGTACAGAAGTTAAATCCATTACTTCAAGTCTCAGGAACTCCCCATTAACAGCTACCAATAGCTCTGAATGGACTGACTCTCTTCAATGACACCAGGTTTTTGATGCTGTGGGGCTAGTAGGTTCTCAATCCTGGCTGCACATTAAAATTAACTGGAAATCTTTTTAAAAACACTGGAGCCTAGTCCCTCCCTCAGAAATTTGCACTGAATTTTTAAAAAGCTCCCTAGTTGTTTCTAATGCACTGCTAGGGTTGAGAGCCATTGCCTCAGGGAAACATGGCTTTCTAATTGATGTTAAAATTATATTTCACCCAAAGTTATACTTCAAAGTATAACATTGGTATAGTTTCATACTCTATAGTATGATACATATTTCCAAAATTTTGGTTCAGATTTGGGTGCTATAATTCTATTTCTCTTTTCATCTCCAAATTGTTTTCTTTAATGCTGACAGATGTGACATGTTAGGGATGAAACATCATCTTTTAAATGTGCTCTCCTGTTGCGAGTTCTGTGGGTTTGGCCTGTGGCAGTTGAGTCTCTGCCGAAGAAAATCACAGCAGCAGCAGCAGCAGCAGCTACTCACTGGCATCTAGAGGCCAGGTTTACAGTATCCAGAGTCAAGATATTACAGGAATGTCGTGTTCTTTTGGTTATGACTTGGCTTTGGGAGAATGTCTTACATTTCCAAGGACAGCACTAACATTTCCAAGGACAGTTAGCTATTATTAGTTATTTTCTACATAATTCTATTCTAGGGAGAGTGTTCTTTTGGTTATGACTTGGCTTTGGGAGAATGTCTTACATTTCCAAGGACAGCATTAACATTTCCAAGGACAGTTAGCTATTATTAGTTATTTTCTACATAATTCTATTCTAGGGAGTTAGAATAAAATATTATAAAAATCTTAATCACATATAAAAGTTAAAATGATATTTAACACATCAGAACAAAGGAAGGAAGAAAGGTGATTCCTTCACAGATACACAGTCACTAGTGGCCTTCCTTTTGGTTATGCACAATATTAATGATAAGCATGATACTGGAAATAATGTTAGCTACTATATACTATATTAGTTACTATATGCCAGACACTTTGCATGTATTATCTATGCACATGGCATGGAATGCATACTCATATATCTATTTTATGCTTATACCATGAAAACCCTGTAAGGTGGATATTGCTATTATTTCCAGATTACAAGTGATGCTTTCAGGAGATTGAGATATTTGCTTATATTTAGAAAAGGTGGAGCCATGCTACAAACCAATGTTTGCTTGCCTTCAGTTCTTGTTCTTTCTAGAAAAAGACACATTATGGTCTAGCCCAGTNTATAAACTGTAGAGTGTATTACCTCCTTCTTGGGTGTAATTAATTTGCTAGTGTGGCTCACAGAATTCATGGAAACACTTTACTTACCTTTATCGGTTCATTAAGAAGGGATATAATAAATGTTACAGATGAATGACCAGATGAAGAGATGTACTGGGTGAGGTCTGGAGGGGTCACAGATGTGAGAGCTTCTGTCCCAGTGGGGCTAAGGTACACTATCCCCCTGGCACACAATGTATTCACCAACTGGTGCTCCCTGAACCCCACAGTTCATGGACTTTTATGGAGGCTCCACCGTATAGACGTGATCCATTATTAACTCCAGTGACAGCTCCTCTCTACTTTCTAGAGAAAGAAGTTAAATCCATTACTTCAAGTCTCAGGAACTCCCCATTAACAGCTACCAATAGCTCTGAATGGACTGACTCTCTTCAATGACACCAGGTTTTTGATGCTGTGGGGCTAGTAGGTTCTCAATCCTGGCTGCACATTAAAATTAACTGGAAATCTTTTTAAAAACACTGGAGCCTAGTCCCTCCCTCAGAAATTTGCACTGAATTTTTAAAAAGCTCCCTAGTTGTTTCTAATGCACTGCTAGGGTTGAGAGCCATTGCCTCAGGGAAACATGGCTTTCTAATTGATGTTAAAATTATATTTCACCCAAAGTTATACTTCAAAGTATAACATTGGTATAGTTTCATACTCTATAGTATGATACATATTTCCAAAATTTTGGTTCAGATTTGGGTGCTATAATTCTATTTCTCTTTTCATCTCCAAATTGTTTTCCTTAATGCTGACAGATGTGACATGTTAGGGATGAAACATCATCTTTTAAATGTGCTCTCCTGTTGCGAGTTCTGTGGGTTTGGCCTGTGGCAGTTGAGTCTCTGCCGAAGAAAATCACAGCAGCAGCAGCAGCAGCAGCTACTCACTGGCATCTAGAGGCCAGGTTTACAGTATCCAGAGTCAAGATATTACAGGAATGTAGTGTTCTTTTGGTTATGACTTGGCTTTGGGAGAATGTCTTACATTTCCAAGGACAGCACTAACATTTCCAAGGACAGTTAGCTATTATTAGTTATTTTCTACATAATTCTATTCTAGGGAGTTAGAATAAAATATTATAAAAATCTTAATCACATATAAAAGTTAAAATGATATTTAACACATCAGAACAAAGGAAGGAAGAAAGGTGATTCCTTCACAGATACACAGTCACTAGTGGCCTTCCTTTTGGTTATGCACAATATTAATGATAAGCATGATACTGGAAATAATGTTAGCTACTATATACTATATTAGTTACTATATGCCAGACACTTTGCATGTATTATCTATGCACATGGCATGGAATGCATACTCATATATCTATTTTATGCTTATACCATGAAAACCCTGTAAGGTGGATATTGCTATTATTTCCAGATTACAAATGATGCTTTTAGGAGATTGAGATATTTGCTTATATTTAGAAAAGGTGGAGCCATGCTACAAACCAATGTTTGCTTGCCTTCAGTTCTTGTTCTTTCTAGAAAAAGACACATTATGGTCTAGCCCAGTTTTTCTCAAACTATAATGTGTGCATGAATTACCTGAAAATCTTTTATAATCCAGATTCTGAATTAGAATCCAGATTCTGATTCAGTGGGCCTGCGGTGAGGCCCAAGATTCTGCATTCTGACAAGCTCTTGGTGATGCTGCTATTGCTGGTCTGCAGGTAACACTGAGTAGCAAGGACTCAGAGTATGTACTCAGAGTTAAGTGGTTGGTTATGTGCCCAGTTTTGTCACTAACTAGCTGTGTGCCCTTGAGAAAGTCAGTTAACCTCTCTAGGGCTTAGTTGTTTTTCATCTGTACCATGGTGAGTTTGAAACAGATAATCTCTAAGATCCCTCTCAGCTCCAGTATTTTGTGAGTCACTAAACTGAAGAGTGAATGTAAGCTATACTAAGTCATTGTGTGTTGACTGTCTGGGAGTAGATCTCTTTCTGTAACTCTCTAGTTGGCATCAGAGATATAAGGAATAGAGACTGTGGGAGGTGGTAGGAATCTGGTAACCAGTACAGACACATGAAGTCATATGTCCATGCTTGGTCTCACAGGATAATGGCAGGAGTGAAAGGATTCACCTGAATGGATGTCCTAGACAGTTTTAGAGAGATTTAGAAATTGAATTGGCTAGATCTTTAAATGACTTGAATCTGGGATATTTAAATTTATTTGTGTTCCTTTTTGAATATCTTTAAAACATCAAATAGAATAAGGATTATATCCATTATTAAAACAAGTTAGCTTTCAGGAAATAAGAATGTTTTTAATCTAAGTTGAATGAATTCCTTCGTAAGAATGAGGATTGGCTTAAACTTTTGAAAGTTATTTCAACATGGACTCTGGTGAAGTCCTCTGATCGCTTTAGGCATTTCTTCAAAGAGTTGGGGGAGTGGGTGAACAAAGAAAAGTGGCACAATTTGAGTCTAGGTACACCAGTAAGTTACTGAGCACTGTCTTGTTATTGGTTATTAGCCAGCACTTAATAGACACCCACACAAATTATAAATGCTGGAAATCATTCAAAGTGCAAGAGACTGCATGAGTTCAATAAATTAAGGATATTAATTTATTGACACTGTGTGTCAATATTCTAGCAATGTATCTTTGTTCTGTTGTTTTAAGATGATACAGAAAGGGAAGAGAGAGATATATTTATCCTAATTAACTGTCTAACATTTGTTGGAAAGGACTTAATGATTCCTCAGTTTTTCCAATAAGTGAATTTGGAGTTTCTCCACCCCGGTTTTCTTTGATAAAGACAAACTGTCATTTAAAACCTGCTAAGTTCGTTGTTAATTAAAATGAAAGGGAGCAGCTGCTTTAAGGACAACAGTATCAAGTTTCTACAGAGGTTGAAAAAAAATTTCCAGGCTTCAAAGAAATATCCAGAATTCAAAATATGTTAATGAAGCTGATTTGGAGGTTCTCTTCCAACTCAAAGGCGGCCCTCCTGAACTTCTTAGGTAATTAACTCAACTCTGCTCACTTGAAAAGATAGGGAACATTACATTTGAATTGTGATTAGGAAAGTGATAGAGAGACGCCCCCAAAAAGATCTTTACAAAATTTTGTAATTTGGAATCAGCATGAAACAGAGATCCGTGTTATGTTAGTGGATAAAAGATAGGGAACATTACATTTGAATTGTGATTAGGAAAGTGATAGAGAGACGCCCCCAAAAAGTTCTTTACAAAATTTTGTAATTTGGAATCAGCATGAAACAGAGATCCGTGTTATGTTAGTGGATGCACCAGGCTCTCTGCATTGGGGAGGAAACCTGCATCTAATTCCATCATTAAATGACCTAGGAACAGGGGTGAACCTGGCAGAGCCATTACTTTATGACTGCAGATGAATATGGTTGGAAAGCGGGAAGCCCTAAAAGACATAATCTCAGCCTTGAATGAAAGCAGGGAGTCAGTGAGAATGTGTCAATTTCTTTGTGTCAGGAATTTATAAAGGGGACTTTTCCATGTCTCATGTACATACCTCACTAGTTTCTGCCTCCCTAACTCAGTTCCAGCCATTCCTCTGTCTCCCATCCCTGCCTGGCGAACGAGTTACTCTGTTTTAAAACCATCTCAGATGCCCACTCTTCTG